TGTGCTATGGAGACATTAACAACTCAGGGGAGCGTTGAAAACTGCGTGAAAAAAAAATGCTTACTTTGATTCACAAGGGGAAATGCTGCAATAGTTAATTCTTTGAACATATCCCTCAATGTTGTGAAGAAGGCAACCACATGAACTGGCGATGCTGGATTTCTAACGAAGAAGTCATTACTTGCCATCGTTGTTGTTATGATTTCAATATCACGGTGTTGCAAGGAAAGCTTTCAAGTAATTATATGGAATCATAAAATTTGTAGTTAAAGCCCTTGAATGGTTAATGTGAAATACATGTCATGTATTAGACTTGATGTAAACGTTATGGTGTTGTTAAAATAAATTAAGGTTTGGAAGACGACATATTTATTTTGGCTTATTGTTTGTATTCAGTATACATATTGTTTGCCTCTACTTTATTCACTACTCATCAAAATGTCCATATATCCTTATTATCCTCGCTCAATACTGCAACCCAACGTATATGTAGAAATTGCAAAATTTGTTTAAATTGTCAACTGATCAAATTATGAGGTTTTGAAATAAAAAACTCCAAATGGGTTACCGTTACTTGGCGGCTGTCAGTGACCGTTTTGGTACTTTGGTAACGTTACAAAATCAACCCCTATAAATTTGGACTTTCTTACATTGCAATTCCTAATTTCCCGGGCCATCCATCTTCATCGTTAAAGCGTCTTAGTCAAATACACCTTCTCAGGTATTGGAACCTATAATCAGGAAGGTACAATGGCTTCCTCATCCAACAGTCGTGCAAGTCGAAGAAATTTCAGGCTAACGAATGTATGTATTGCGGATCGAAAAACTTCTTCTTTATTTGCAGGCTTGTTTTTTATTTTTATTTTTTTCCATTCTTTTTGCTGTTTTTTTTACTGATGTTGAACTGATATTGCAGCCCATTAAATTTGTTTTAATTTCTTCTTATGTTTTCTTTTCGACTTCCAGGTGCCATCTTCCACCCAACCACCTACAAGACTTAAGGTATATGAATAAAAATTGTTGGTATTGAGATGAACGTAATATGACAGACATTAAATTCACAGGGAAAGAAGGCAGAAATAAAGGAAAGTTGTATTATGTATGTTCGTAGGAACGCGACGAACATTGCGGCTTCTGGGAATGGTGTTACCTTATTTCAACCAACATTATTCAAAGTGCAACTTCAACTAACCCACATGAATCACCATTTTCTAAGTCCATGGGGGAAGACATAAATTTGGTGGATGATGTGGATGATCTAAATTATGAACGTCCAATGTATGCTTTAACTGTGAGACTTCTCGAAGCCAGCAATGCAAATGTGAAGCTATTAGCAAAGTTTGGGTTTTTTATGACAGCCTTATGTTTTTTGTTAATTATAATAATTTTTCTTCACCTGTGATGTGATTATGAATTTCTGGGTTTTACACTAATGGATGATGCGGATGTTCCCTATAAATTTGTAACCACATTTTGTACAAGTTTATCAAGCTATATGAATAGTTGTCCTTCTCAAGTTTTACCAAACAACAATTATATAAAATTATTTCCATTATACCCGTCAGAGAAGTAAACCTTACAGTCAACAAAATTACAAATTCATTGGGATGCTTCTTAGAAATGATGAACGATAATGTCTATATAACTATCAGCATAAGTTACACATATGTATTTGCATAAGTGGATCCCTTAGTGAGGTATTTCGATTGTAATTGGAATATTGAATTTATCCTTATATTTTTCTAAATAATTTCAATAACAATTTTTATTCAACATTCCAATAAATTTATAAGACAATTTCCAAGGCCCAAATGAAAATCATCGCCATATAACTCTTAAGTGATACATTTATTTTTCTATATGTAATATTTATCCTTATATTTTTATAAATAATGTCTTACTACTGTGGAAGCTTAACCATCACAGTACATTGATGAATCAGTTGAGAGTTATATTTGGATATTTTCCTTTGGGCCTTGGACATTGTCTTATAAATTTATTGTGATGTTGTATATAAATTATTACGACATTTACGTATAAAAATTTAAGGATAAATCAAATAGCTATATTTGCATAAATTATCAGTTGAGAGTTGTATTTGGATTGTTTTCCTTTGGGCCTTGGAAATTGTTTTAGAAAATATTCCGCTTTTTATGACACACTTATGTTTTTTTTTAACTTGTAATTATCTTTATTCACCAGTGATTTGATTATGAATTTCTAAGTTTTACCCGAATGGATGATGTGGATGTTCCCCATAGCATATTTAGAACATTAATTTTAAGGATTAAACATTGAGAACAATATATTAAACGATATATAACATGCAAATTGTTTTGAAGCAATTAACAACAATGACATAGAGGATTGCAGGTTCAAATTTTAAACATGCTCAAACTCATAGTTCTGGGCTTTCTTTATTGCTCTTGTTGCTTCATGGAATCATGGATGAATAGATACATGAAAATTATAAATTTGAAATTTTATATCATCGTATTAGAACAATCAAGTTCATACACCCAAATGTTCACTTAATTAGTATCAGAAAAATAAAATTTAAATACTAATAGATTTTGGTGACTAAATTCAAAAAAAATTACTATATCGTGACCTTAAAATTGAGAAAATATGAATAGTCACCAATTTTAAAACTTAATTGCTACCAAGTGACCATCTGATGTGATGAGTACTTTATTACATGGGTAGTTATATAATAAACAGTACACATATCAGATTCCTAGCCTAGCATATAAAGATAATGCCCATAATCAAACGGGGTCTAGAACATAACAGTAGCTAAACAACAAAGAATTGGATAATAAAAAACCAATAACAATTAACTGGCTTCCAAGTAAACCATAAAGAAGAGGTGAAAATTTTAAACCCTCATTTATAAAATTTGTTAAGTACAAACATATCCTGGTCTATAAAAGAGATAACAGACATGTTCCAAAACTATGAACTGAAGCAAACATCCAAAGGATTTTTGTCCGCACAACACAAATAAAGTCTAATGATACTCTGGAGCTAACCCCCAATATTCTGGGACTTGTTCAGGATAACTCCCTCATATTTGACTTCAAACCACTTCATGGAATCCTCCTTTGTGACCCTATGCTGGATTCCAATGGTAGACTTGCACTTACGTGGATGCCCACAGTCGATAACCTGGCAATTCCACGACAACATAGAAATCCATATCGTAAATGGCAGTTGAAGGATCGTACCTGAAAGTTGAAGGTAGAATAGCAAACAAGAATCAAAGATACAAACAAGTTGGTACATCTTTATTTCATAATAAAACATGGTTCTATATACAATGAGGCAGAAAAAACTCAACGAACCCAACGATGAACTTGAAAAAGGTCCTAACATGTTTCAATCTGATTTAGATTAAAGAATCTGGTCCCAGATTGAGGAGATTGAGGAAGGGAGATAAGATCATACTATCCTTCAAGATGATGACAAAATAAAACTAAAAATATATGCATAAGTACAGAATCTTAAATATAGAAAGTGAACAAGCCAAGATACACATAAAACTGTAAGTATATTAGGATAGTGAATCCACAAGTTCATCCAAATTAAATTAGCGAGGATAGACTAATATTAGCGAAAGTAGACTAAGTTTGTCTGGACATATTGAACGTAGACCCAATGTTGCGCCTGTTAAAAGAGGAAGAGTTGTTTGCCTAAAAGGCAAGCGACACAGACGCAGGCCAAAGCTTTTGCAGATTATGCAATTCTACAATCTACATTATAACTTTAACACTACAAGGGCTGCCGGACTCAATATAATAGTATAAGACAATAAAAACAACTTCTTATCTAACTGTCAACACTCCTAAAAACACATACCTTCCATTATTCTATCACCTGAACCCCTTTTCTTAGATTTCCATATTAAAATGGTCTACCATCAAAAGACATGCTGTAATTAATAGACATTCCATGGAAATAAGATGTCTAATAATCACACAACTCTTATGGATATGGATTAGCGGAGAGGGAGAGGTGATGGGGAGATATGCATCTTACAAAGCACCTTAACTATTGAATTATGTCATAGTCCATTTTGGCATACAATAAGATACACCTATACATAATCATCTGAAATTGAGCATATAATGTATGCCTTTAAGTTGATCAAGACATGCTCATATAACACTGTCAAGTACTAATGAACAAAAACACCTTGCATATAACACTGTCAAGTACTAATGCGACATAATATGTCATTGATTGAAATGAAGTAAAGTTATGAAGAAAGATCTGTTACTTGATTCCAAAAGTAGGTGGCAATAGTGTGCACCATTCCCTCAATAACCAAGAACCCATAACTCTCACATGTAGTTGGCAACACCATGCACTATGACGCCATAACTTATTTTGATTACTTCAATAAAATCAATTTCATTTAGGACACCGTAGTAGTTTTATTTCCTTCATGGATAAGATCAAAATCTGCCTCATACTCCAAAAAAATGGTCACCTTGTGCATGTTGACAAATGAACAAACAATTAATTACCATGAAAGGCTGGTAGCATCTATATTGTCAAGTAAATTAATAAAACATGTAATCCACTCATCATTGTTGTTCTATTCATTCCAAAATTTATGCAGATATATTAAGAGACAGATGGTGCATATGACCCGAGACTCATATATTATTGTTTTATAGTTACAAGTTCTTCATTCACAAATAAAAAAAAATTCAACCTTGCCTTTGTTCATGCAAAACTGTGCTTAGTTCACAAAAATCATAATTATCTATGTTTAGCAAATATTCATTAGGTTAAGCCAATCTTTAGGTCTATTAATTTAATTTTTCCTATTGTATGTTCATCTATACTTAAACCGGAATAATATTTATTAAAGCAGTACCAGTGAAAGATGCTTTCTTTTCATGGACAGTGTCATTTGTGTTTACCTAGTTTCATTCCAAGCAAGGCCTAAGTGACCCACTCTCAAAATCTTCCTTATAAATACAGCATTGACATCAATCATCTCCTTCAACTTTGGCAGCCTTATACAACTCCTCTCGGACTCTATTCCTGGGATGATCCGATAGTTCCACAAGGATCTCAGAACGCATTGGCTTGCAGTTTACCTACAATATTACAAAATGTTACTGCCAAACAATACTATAACTTGTACCTTATGTATTTTACACATACATAGAAATAATAATGATAACACTACTTACACAAAATTTCTGATTGAAGTTAGTGCCATTCCAGAACTGTATGTACCTCATAACTAACACACCACAAGTATTCCTGATATGCAAATAGTATTTAACTGATTTACTCAGCAAGGGATAGTATTGCATTTATGATACGGTGAAAAAAATAAAATTTATTATGCACTTGTATTGAAATATATGTTTACAAACAGATCATCCTGGAGAGGGATTTTATGGACTGTCTTTGTTATGTAAGCTGGCCAGTTGTCTTCCCCCAGGGCAACCGCAACAAACTCATTCTGTAATACGCATGAACCTGAAGTAAGTATGCATTTTTGATAAACCAAACTTTAACAAATGGGGTTGATTTCATTAGATAGATGTCTACCACACAATCCCCAAATACGTTGTATCTGTACGGTCGTCCAATTCCACATAGGTAGTCCATTACTTTGTTGGGTCAGTTGACAACGAGTAGAAACCAATGTTTGTCAATGATTCTAGGGAAGAATAACTATACGGTAATGACCATAAAGTTAGAGACAATAAAACATATTGGTCAAAAATAGGACGATTCAATCATTCGTACTTAAAACATCTTCTACTTTACTGTAATGCACAAGAAATTACTCCAAAATTAGTAAACTAACTAGCTCAGAATCCTTGAAGACCGTCGAATCTTGAAGCTTACATACTCGTTTGTATTGTTCCCAGAATTTTTTTTATGAAAGGCCTACGCTTCTCTGTAGTGTCATATTTAATGACATTGTGTTGATTCATAAACTGGATAGCGCAACTATCAAAATAGTAGTGCTTCACATTCCCTCCTTGGTCTTCGTTCAACAGCATTGCCCAGAATTTGACAATCTAATTTCACAAATGCAATTGTAATAGGTTCATCATATCATAACCATACATAACTGTATCAATTAATTGAAAATTAATGCACCAAGTTTGAGATCCAGTTCGGGTGAAACAACTCGTGTATGTCCGTCCTTGTAAGATGCATATCGTACATGGAAACCAGAATTTCACTAACAAATGTACAGAGTATTTACAAATTAGTATACGTGCACTAATACAATGGTTCTTTGTAAATAATAAGGCCCAAACAACAATACAATGAACAACAATATATGGACTTAGGAAATTTACAAATGTGGGTTACACTTACCCTTTATCTTGATCATCAGCTTGCACAGCAGCATAACTAAACAATTTCTTCTGCTTTGGAGTCAATTTAATTTTCTTACTATCTCTCAATACCCATAGAGAGAAGCAATATGGTGCGGGTTTCCTGCTCCTAGTACCCCTTCTGACTTTTTTCACCACATGCTTCCCTTTACCATGTAAATTTTCCGACGCAATATCAATGACTGAAGAACTGGGAGTTATATGTGCTGTTCCTAGGTTCTCCTCCAAAGCCATGCCCACAACGTCATTCAACTCTGTCCTCTCATCCTTATTCAGTATATCTTTGCTGGTAGGACTAAAGTGGCCATGATTTGTACCACAACATTCTGCTTCTTCACCTCTGTTAACCGGAGATTTAAATGTTTCCCTCTCAACTTCATTTTCAGAATTGAGTGCCGCATCTTTGTCCTCAACGGACACTCCCCCATCTCCTGTAGAAACACTTGGTTTTCCTCCAGACTCTTTCGACTTTTTTCTGACCAATTTCTCCATTTTCTTCACCTCCCTCTTCAACATTTTCCTGTTTTCTGCTTCTCTTTCCATTTCATTGCGAATTTCTTTAACGCAACACTGCATACAAAATTGTAATTGGTGTCACTGATCAATTGCATATTCACAATTTCATTGATACTCATTAACTATAAAGTAATATATCGTTACCTCAACCTCACTTTCTGAAGAACTACCATTGTCTTTTTCACCTCCAGACCACGACGATGACGGAGATTGGGACACATTCGCCTTAAGAGGAATTAACTGTTCCAGATAAATTTTTCGAACCAAATGTACATCAGCAAGGAAACGGTATCATATACAACAAAAATTGGGAACTTGCAAATACTTGTACAATTTAGTGTCATACCTAACCCATTCTGAAACCTCCCATTTTCAACTCCCATTTTAAGCGTTCCCGTACTAGGGATGTGTCCCAAAAAGCAAGACTGTTTTTTTCGCCCGTGGTCGGATAACAGGGGTATTCCACTTTACACCTCATCAGATATAGCAGCTGAATTAAAATGTAGCAACTTTAATCAGTTATGATTTATACTAATCACATAATTGATAAAGTTTTTTGCAAAATATAAGCACGTTATGTTATTTACCTGCAAGAAAAGCACGCATCCGATATACTCGTGCTTTGTTTTCCCACGTCCTTCAGATTCACCCAAGTGAGCCATCAAAGTTTCAAGCACGTACGTACACCAGTTGTACGACTTGATTTCATGCACATTATGCACAGCCTTTAATTCTTTGACATTCACACTATAAAGTCCATTGGGCGTTAGAAACGCAGCACATGCAAAAAGAATAAACGCTCTTTTGAAATCATCACCAGCCTCACACTGCTCTACCCTTTTTATCAGCTCATTTACTTGTAGCCGACTTCGATATCCACCTTCAGTTACCCATTTGGCTTTAAAAAGCTGACATGTAGGAACGTCCATGATTCTAGCGGGTAACCCAAAGATTTTGTGGACATTGATTGCATTTATTGGCAGATATTGATTATCTTCAAGTTGAATGCATCGTTTCTTTATGTCCAAATGGCCAATTATGTAATCGAAGAGTGCGGTAGACAAATGCTCACATTGTAGGTTCAGCAAATAGCCAAAACCTATATCTGTCACATCCATCCTCTTTTCGTCTCCAAGTTTCGCTACTGTGTTGATGAATTTTGCGATTGAGCATTTGTTCCACCCACTTTTCACCTTGTATTCAACCTATAACATCCCAATAAATTTCATGTCACATTCAAAATTTCATTTAACTACCAGTACGGAAGCATCAATTGCATTCTTTTGTATTTCATATTATGTTATCAACACAATAACAAATTAAATCAATAATTTAATTGAACTCCCTAATTTACCTTCTCCTTCTTCTTTTTGTTAACTGGTAAGCCTTCAAGGCTTTTGAACTCAGCATCACGCAATCTTTTATCGTCATAATATGGACCCTTCTCCACCATGGTCATACCATTCCAAACATCCTTGCATTTCAATTCCAATATTTTTTTATCTCCCCCCTTCATTGGCCCATGCACGTGTTGCTAGTTCTTCATAAAAGTAGCCCTCATAGACATAATATCATATACAATATCACCAACTCAACATTAGACTTATCGATTCAAACATAAACATGTTGAACCAAATATTTCCTAAATGTTCATATTTACCAAACTAACACATCAGTAAAACATCAATTTAATGTCAAAGGCATGTAGAAATTATGTTCTACCATTATTAATAATTCATCCTAAACAATCAATTTCCATGTGAACGTAAATATCATATAAATGAAAAAAAATTCATAGAAATGCTATTCTTAACATTAATACTAAAATGAACTTATACTTACTTGAACAAAAGGTAAACTCCTCCTCCACACCGCATATTATTAACTGATGCGCTGCTGCTTGGCTGTGGATCATAATTCTCTTCCTCCACCTTAACATTGTAATCCTCATCACCAAGGTCAGATGATTTACGGATATGACTATGACTACGAGTAGATGATTTGGGCAGGGGAGGTGTACGCCCCGCAGAAGAAGATTGATTACGCATGGTTTGCATCATACATTGGAGAGTAGGAGAAGGAGGCCGATCAACGATATTGTCCGCATTTTTTTTTCCGTATAGGTAATTTTTTTCGTACAGGACCTTTCTTTTGAGCTATCGACTTCTTCCGACCCATTTGTAAACCACTCTTTACAGCACAGCAAAGCACACTCTATTATGCACAAACAACCTTTCCACCAATTGTCAGTCAACAAAATTTTAACCACAAATAGATAAAACAAACACACACACAATTAACTGCAAAAATGGTGCAACAATAAAATCATACCACCAAACAACAGATACAACACACCAATTACCATTACAAATTGTATAAAACATTGCATTCCCTTACACAAATAATATTTTTCATAATTTGCAATTCATTTTTACACAATTTAATAATAACAAATAACTTCTATCACGAATTATACTGGACTATCTGGGCCACATATCGGAACCGGCGGGAACAGGCACATGAGAGGATTCCTGCCCATGTGAACGACTAGACTACACTGCAGAATTAAATGATTGAATAGACCTTTAATTTAAACAACTATGAACCACTCCATTACATACTATTTTGTATGGTCTAAAGTGCATAACATGTAAATACATCCGCTCAATCATATGATTAGTTAAATGCTTTATGAATTATGATTATTAAGTAGAAAACACAGTTTGTAGCTACAATTTTGTAGGCCATTGTGTTGTATGGCATAAACTTGTTTTATGAATTACTATAGCACAATTATAAATTAGAGTTTGAAAATTTTGCAATGTATCTCATTTTGATGATCTAAAGAATTTAATACATATACTATCATCTTCTTCAAATTGAATCTAAATTACATGACTGGAAGAGATTCCACTGCAAAATTCTAACAAACCACTATCTATCTACCCTTTGACTATTGAGATGTGCATAATTTAGACGATGATTTTTCACATTTCAAATTAATCAAACATAACTAATAAAACAGAATTTAATATACTATATTCAATCAAATTAAACCTTTGACTTTGGAAAGGGATGGACAGAATTTAATAGGGTTCAATCAATTTAATATATACATACACTAACATATACACTACAACTACAACGTATAAAAGTAAAGGCAAGTAAACGCAGATGGGGATTTATACTGTATTCTTTATCACAGAATAACTTTTTCAGGATTTCACAAATAATCAAACAAAACTAATAACACACAATTTAATATAGTATAATAACACATCATTTATTTATCATGAACAACTTTTCAGGATTTCACAAATAATCAAACAAAACTAAAAACACATAATTTAATATAGTGTATTCAACGAAATTAAAACCTCTGCGTTTCTGAACATAATTTAATATAGTTAATTCAAAGAAATTAAAACCTCTGCGTTTCTGAAAACCTTCCACTCCACAAACCTAACTCCGACCACTGTCACAACAGTCCGACAACTGTAACAATAACAATAACAACCTCTTCTCGCGACCTTTTTCCACTTCCACCTCCACTTCTGAAAACCTAAGTCAGACCTTGACCTTCTTCCACCTCCACTTCCGAAAACCTAATCGCCTCTACCCCACTCCGCGTTCGAAAACACCTTCTTCCACATCTACTTCCGAAAACCTAATCGCCTCTACTCCACTCCACTTCCGAAAACCAAATTCCGACAACCTATTCTTGCGATCTTTACTCCACTCCACTTCCGAAAACCTAATTCCGACAACCTCTTCTCGCGATCTTCTTCTAAGTCCTCCTCAATCGCTCCTCAATCGCCTTTTTCGCCTTTTGAAAGTAGTTCTCTTTCCGACCTAGAAAAATGAAGGATAATTTGGGGGATTTTTTAATGTCAAGGATATTTCAGTAAATTCCTCTAAATATACACAATATAATATATACATACACTAACATATACACTACAATGTATAAAAGTAAAGGCAAGGAAACGCGGATGGTAACTTTTTTGGCGCCAATTTACTTTAACTGACGTGGCGCAATCTGGGCCACACATCGGAACCGGTGGGAACAAGAACAGGAGAGGATTTTGTCCCGTACTGGAACTGATAAACATAGAAAAAAAAATTGTACTGGCACACCATTGTTGACTTTTTGGACATGGCTCATTTGAATATTCAAAGGAATTTGTCATGGATTAAAATCATACTCTGCCCTAGTGTTATTTATTTATTATTATTATTATTACTGCTTATGTAATGTACAACACTATAAAATGATTATTTCGATACTGCAACAATATTATTTCGAAAGTGTTGCACTGGATTTAATATCCAAGGGGCACCTTGATTGAATTAATAGTTACACCTTTTTTTTTTATATCTAAAAATAATGATATTTGATGAGCGTTGAAAAGTGTGTATTTAAACCCCTTAAGCTTAAGCATTCTAGTACCCTTATCTATCTTACTTTACCGTCTTATATTGATTTTGTGTTATTTCCATTTTCCGGCACTTATCCCAAAATAAGCTAACTCAGCCAAATAAGAGCAGAAATGAAGCAATTTTGGGATGAATCAGAGAAAGGAGTCAAGTGGAAGCAAAAGGAAGAAAAAGGTGGAAATCAACATCTTCGATCGATCTCAGATCAAAGTTCGATCGATCCAACATGATCGATCTCAGCATTTCAAGATAGATCAGAGCCATGATGACATTATTAGAGATCTCAAAAGTTCGATCAATCCAACATCATTCTTCGATCGATCGAACTACCTTGTCCTCATCCAAATGATTGATCTTATCTAGTTGTACCACCCTACCAATCACTTTTGTCCTTTTCCCAAAAATATCTCCAAAATATCTCAGATTTGTTTTTTTTTCCAAAAAACGCCGCCATTGAGGATCGATCCAGCCTAAGTTCGATAGATCTTAACCATGTTCGATCGATCCAAGTCCAAGGTTCGATCGATCGAACTTCCTCTAGTGCGAAAAAGTTAAATTTCCAGCTCACAAAAAGTTGTTCTTTATCCAATCATTGGGGAATATTTGTTGTACGTCCCCAGTTTATTTTGGGTGTCATTTGACCTAACTATATAAGGATAAGGATTACTTTTTACATCATATCACATCATATCATCTTATACCTTGTAAGAACTCTTGGAGAGCAAGTTTAGAGGAGGAGGAGGCTAGAGACACCATTGGAGACTCTTCATCAACCAAAGAACAAATCTCTATCATGGAGTTAGCCCTTGAGGGTTGGAGAAACACTACCATGAGTGGCTAGACATCCTCTTGGGGCTAGAGTTAGCCCCAAACATACTTTCTACATCTTGATTTTGTATATTATTGAGGGATTAATGTTGTAATACATGTTTTGGCACTTATATATATATATATCTTGTTTATTCAATGATTTATGTGATTTAATGCTTCCAATTGATCATTTCATTCTAGCCATATGTCTATGTATGCTAGAATAGATGTTCATGTGTTTGTCTCTATTTCTTGTGTTATTGATGCATGTCTATGTGTATTAATGCCATAGATCTAGAGATTGTCAAAACATTGTGCTTAATGGAATGCTCTTATAATTTTCTAGATGGTTCATGCTCATTTCTTGATGGATTGTGCCTCTTTCTTAGCTTAATTAGTTTAATTTCATGTCATTAGCTTAATTGTAGTGTAGTGGTAGTATAGTTGTTAGATGGGAGGACAATCCATGCTTGTTGTTTGATGTTCCATACTTTTGAATGCAAGTAGCATATGTCTCTGACCTTGTGGTGTATTTGGTTTGTGAGCTTAATGAAAGGATTAATGACTTGCTAGATATATTATGCTTTTCACTTACTATTTAGACAATATATACTTATTGCTAGATATATTGTGCTTTTCACATGTTGCTTAGACAATATATGCTTAATTGGTCACCCTTGCTAATTGAATCAACCAACATATACACACATTAATATTGCAACACACATTTCCCTCATTAGTCACTTGTTAAAGGTGTAGAAAAGTATTGTTTGGTGGTGACCTCTAAACCCCAAGATCTCTCTTTGTCTTACTTACTCTTTATTACATTCCATTATTTAGTTTAATTTGCTCTCTAGTTTAATCAACCAACCAACTATTTGTTTGATCACTCGACCTACTAACCCTAATAGCGATTCCACAACCAAATTTGACTCCAATCCTTTGGGACGATCTGTACTCACCCTAACTATATTTTTAGTGAAGGTAGTAGTGGCTTTTATAAATGTAAAACTTGGTCCTCGCCTTAATGCACAATCTCTTAAGCTTATGGTGTAGTAGCGATGAGACACCGTCAATATTGCACATTAATACAGTGAGTTATATAATGTAAACTGCAATACGATTATTTCGAGACAGCAACACTTTGATTGAATCCTGCTCCGCCGTTGCTACGTTGGCTCATAAGGGGCCCAGGTTGCTAATTGATATGAATGGTAATTATTTTTTCCTCCCAAATTAGGGTGAATTGAAATTAAAAAAAAAAAATTATAATTGCAGGAGTACAATCCACTCTCTCGCATATGATGTGAGAGAGTCCATTGTCAACTGTCAGCAATGTCTAGTATTGCCCATGGGATACTTCTAAAATATCATTGATGAACTACACGTAGCCGTGACGCATGTCATTTTTTGGTAAAATATTAGGATCTCAAAATGAAAATTTTCTGTCCTATAGGAAGTGTGTCGCAAGATTTTTGTTCGTTGTCTAAATGAATTCGGATTGCACTCATATTTTATATCTACTATTTAGTAGTGTTATTTGATTAAGTTTCTTTCTTTATTTTTTCGGACTTTATTTTTAGGCTTATTTTTTAGTATTAGTATCATTTCAAGATTAGGTTTCCTTTTGTTATAAAGATTCGTTGTGCAGTTAGTTTCCTAATGAATTAGGGTTTTCTTTCATTATAAACGTATATAATGGAGATAGATATTAGAATCATTCAATCAAATATAAATACAATTATTAGTTTTTCTCTGAATTTATCTCTTATTTTTTGGATTCAAAACACCCTATTTTGTAAATTCAAATTAACCCGTTCCTGGTAAATAAATTTATTGCTTATGCTTACATTACAAATACAAGAAACACCGAACTAAACTCAAAATTAACAGACACGATAAAAGTGTCATGGAGATGCCAACAACTACTCCATCAGGCGCTTGAAAACCACAAACATTTTATCTCGATCAGGAAGATTTTCTTTGATCACCAGCACTTCTTTAAAACTTTTTATCCATGCATGCAAGCTCAGGAACGTGCGAGCTGCAAGTAGCTTCAATCCTAATATGTCTTCAAAAACTCCCAACTAGTAAGCAAACACTCCAAAGGATATGTCAACTATGCTAATCCACTCTTCACCAAAGAATTTCTTCTCTCCTAGAGCTTTTTCCAGTGTTTTTAACATTTCTAAGTTGTCTTTTATTACATTTTTTTGTTCTTCTCCGGTGGTTTGAAACATTGCCCAAATTATAAGATCCTATATGTAGCATAACCAATAAAGAATTATTTGATTTCTTCTATATAGGAACTAAACACATTTCTAGTTAGGGAATAAGTAAAGTTCTCACTTACTAACATATATTCCATGGTTTCAAAATTATTGTCCATCTTTCTATATATTTTGGAATATTCCAAAATATATGTTTCATTCCAAAAATATTGTAACGACCGGTGGAGTAGGTCGTTACAAATGGTATCGGAGCCTGAACCAGCCGGAAGTGTGCCGATGGGTATGTCGGGCCTCTAAGGGGGTAGGTTGTGATGACCCTGTGGGCAGGTCATAGGTGTGCCGTAAGCGGGTGCGAGACACTGACAGGCTACCGCTGGGTGAGCTATGGGTGCACAATCCCACATCGCTTGGGTAAGGGAAGGGTGAAGTGCTTATATGTGGTGGAGTGGGTCGTTGCAAGTGCTAATATGTGGTGGAGTGGGTCGTTACAAATGGTATAATTATATATAGTACTATTAGATGTTTAATACACCTTGTTGCCTTAAAGGTCAAAAACATGACGGGTCCCTACCCGACCCAAAATCATCCAAGGGTAATATGGTCCTTTCATGTTAAATTTGCATATTAAAGTCCAACAAGGACAAGATGGTCATTGGTCACAATTCTAATGGTATGAGACTCAAAGGGCATCATGGTTATTTACTTATGTCATATAATAATTAAGGTAAAGCCTGGGGCAATACAGTCTTTTCTGTGGTTAGAATATAATTAATACCTTATACTGAGTCATATAATGTGTGACAACACACCTAAGTGTGTGGACAAGGGTAAAATGGAAAATAAGCCACAATTGTTTATTACACAGGAACTGGTTGACATAAAAAAATTTCACGTCGACTGGGTTGAGACGTGTACAGTAGAAAAGCTCACTGCCCACATACCGGTCGACGTGTGGGAATTTCACATTGACTGGTTCAGGTCATCTGGTCAACGTGTGGGAATTTCACGTCGACTAGTTCTGGGTTATTTACACTCAAAATGTTCACTGTCCGAGATACACCAACATTGGTAATCAATCACCCAACACCACCATACTAATGTACATATTTTTATACATTTCAACACCTAATACAAAAGCAACAACAATTGTGTTAACATAATTTACAACACGTTACATAAAATACACTAAAGGATTTAGTGTAAATAGACTTAATTACATGACCCCAATGGCCATATACAAAATGAATCTAAATACTTCACATGCTGTAAAATGATACATTTTGGGTCAACATTTTACAAAATGAGGCCTAAATACAAAAGATAGCAAAAACGACATTCTTCTAATCCAAGCTAAGGCTGTGGTGGATTGTCATCCGCCACTTCCTTTCCCGAATCTGAAAATATTAAAATAATGGTGTGAGCTAAACGCTCAGTAGGAAGTGTCTAAGACACACTTCTTATAACCCCGTGAATCCATGTAAGGAATAGGTAAAAGAAAACTGGATCATAGCATAGAGGTACATGGCAACAATTACAACGACAAGTATATAACAATTGTCACCCAAACATATACACACCATATATTCGAATGAAGTGCAATGTTGTGCAAAGTCGCTCCCCATATCCAAAACATTTCCGTTTCAACTTCCAAACCGTTAGTATAACCCGACCCAAGGCACCTCCAAGGCATCACGAAAGAAGGATTGGTTAACCATCCACAACCACAAGGCATCTCCAAGGCGTTCCATCCGGTCTAATTAGCTCAACCATACTCCCCTCTAAACTACACTAACAACACAGACCACTAGGCGCCTCCTAGGCATCCGAGTTTTTGCAAACACTTTTAGAAAACTTTTCCTAAAAACAGTTTCACTTGTTTTAAAAAAAAACTTTTCCCCTATTTCTTTCCCAATGAATGCATGAAATGTTTCATACTTCAATTCATCAATTCCACCATAAAACTCTCACACATGCTATATAAAGCAAATTTCTAAACTACATAACTAAAGTTATCAATTAACATTAACTTTGCATAACAAGCGTACAAGATATGGATCCAACTTCATGTAAGTAATGTTGAAACACTATAAAACAACTAACAATTAGTCACATATATTCCATACCTATCATTTAAGCAATTTTTACAAGAATTTATACCAATTGAACATGCTAGACATTAATTCAAGTTATAAAACTCACAAAAGTACAAAAAATCATGCATTAGAACACCCCTACCTCAATGGAGATGAAAACCTCTAAAACTTGGTTGGACAAAACCTTTTACCTTCAAATCGTCAAGTTGTTTCTTTAATTCTTCTAATTCAATTGGTGCCATACGATACGGTACAATAGAGATTGGCGTGATACCAGTCATCAAATCAATAGCAAACTCCACCTCTTGATGTGGAGGCAACTCCGTCAAGTCCTTCGGAAACACATCCAGAAAATCATGCACAATCTCTAGATAATCAATCCCATAAAACTCAGCATCATCGACGAAAAGGCTAACCAAGAAGAACCCTTGTCGATCCCGACCTCTAACACTATAAAATGAAGGAATGAGAGAATCACCCTGTAATACCCCTAATTTTAAAAAGGATAGTCTCGGCATTTTAAGTTTTATTTTATTGTATTTTTATTTGTTTATGTGCTTAGTTGCTTAGTTATTTTAATTAATTGATTGATGGTTTGTTTTAATTGAATTGTTTGTTTAATTGTTAATTTAATTGTATTTTTAATTTCTTTAATTGGATTAAATGAGTGTTATTAATTATAATATTAATTAGGGTTTTAGTCTTTTATGGATCACGTAATAGCCGACTAGGAGTTAACTAGGTTTACCGTCTTTGAATTAAATTGGACCTAGGTTTATTTGTGCCTATACATATACTGTTATAAGTCTGCAAAAGGGTTGGAAAAACCCTATTCACGTATCAGAGATATAGAGAGAAACAGAGAGAGAATTATGAGAAAAACAGAGGGTTTTCAGTTAGGGTTTTGGCTGTGGATTAAAGGATGGACCTAGGAGAAGGGAAGGTTGAGCAGTAGGAGGTTGACAGTGAACGAACGTCGTCGGAAAACTTAGGAAGACGGCGACGAGGTTTTTTATTCAAAAATCTCACAGGCAAGTTCTATTCTGTCTCTCTCCCCTTGACCTGTGTTCTGTGCATGCCTAGATGATCTCTAGGATCTTAATCAGACATTAACTGAATCTTGCATGCTTAGTATATGTTAAATTGATTATCTATATGTGTTTAATTTTATCTGGAATAGTTCTTGCAAGTTTGGTGTTCATTTTATGTTTTTAAAGCATAATGAATCGGTAGCTGTTTTAACTGTTGTTATTAATTCCTACTATTGTAAAAAAATGATTGGGATGCTACTGGGTATAAATTAGACTCTTAAGTTCAGTATTAAAGAGGAACAGAAGAGTTGGAAGTGGCTAGAGACGAAGCAGAAGGCTAGAGAAGGTTCAGGGCTCTCATAGAAGGATAGAGCCGGCTCCATGGAAGAGGGAGCCGGCTCCCCCAAGTGAAAAGCCGGTTCTGGGGGATGTAGAGCTGGCTCCCACCCCTCTAAAGCCGGCTCCATGCTTGATGGAGCCTGCTCTCAAGTTCTGAGAGCAGGCACTTTTATATTGAAGCGTTCTGGGTTTTTCTTTGGGCGCTGTTTGGACAGTTTAAGTATTCTAAATTGTTTGGGAGTATACTGGGCTGAATATAAATTTCATGGGATATTAAACCTCTAATTGCATAATTTATTCCGTGTTGCTAATAGAATGAACAGTATGAAATTAAGCAACTTCGCATACTGTTAATAGATAGAAAAGATTAAATTATTTAATTTTGTTTTAAAAATTTAATGGGCTGTAGTATGGACTCTAAACATTATATTATACTGTATTAGAACCCACATTGCATAATTAATGTCTTTATGCTAATGGATTTAATAGTAGGGAAGTTTAAACAATTTTGCATGCTGTTAACGGATAGAAAATATTAAATTGTTTAATTCTATTTTAGCAATTTAACGGAATATAACATAATTATAAATCTTGTTTTGGATGCACAATAGGGTCATTTATTTATCAGACTTGATCTATGCTTGCTCTGGATTCTAATTACTGAAATTTTAAACCCTGTTCTGCAATTACATGGACTAAGGTTTTGGATTATAATTGCTGAACTATTAAACTTTGTTTTGTCAACTACATGGATTAATGTGTTGGACATTAATTATTGAACTATTATAAAATGTTTTGTAATTTGTGATACCCCTCGATTCTAGAGCCACGGGTGATCAAGTCCGAACACAGATCTGAGGGATACCAAACAATTAATATGTAAACAAGCAGAAATAAAACCGAATTAAATACAAATTAATAATACGCTGAAAGAAATCTAACATAAGAATCCTCAAACTTGAAATAAATAAATTAATATGATTTAAAACCGTACAACTCGGGAATCCACCTAGTGGACCCCTAATCCCAAATCCTTGAATAAATTTACAGAATTAAAATCCAAAATTTAAAATAGAAAGGAAATCCTATGTAACCGGAAGAGTGAGTGTCTGTATCTGCATCAACACGATCCAGCTCTAAGACTGGTACTGTCGAACACCTGAAAAATAATAGAGTGGGTCAGACCCACATGCAAGTCCTGATCTACTACGATCCAAATAGTAATCCGATAGCAGATACATCCTAGAAAGACTCAACAATATCTAAAGTAGTCCATATATGTATATATAGTACACACTATAGGACGCTCGCTAGTCCAGTAGGTCTGTCTCAGCCTGAATAGGAGGCAACATGCGAATACGCACCCTAAGGTGGGCATGAGTACCTAGACCTACCAGGGAACAACACCTATGTCCAGTTATCCATCCTAGGCGATATACGCGCCCTAACCATGGTCTTGAGACTCAAGCTCATACCATGGCACATATAATAAATATATAAAGCCCGTACTCCTCCTAATACAGAATATCATCCATCTGTGTAGTGGTCTGATATCTATATAATA